TGATTTATGATGATGAGAGATGATCAATGTTAGATGATGAAATTGCTTGTTTTATGTGATAAGGATTTGATGTTTGTTTAGCTTTCGATTCAACGGGACTTAGAAGCGAATTATTGTTAGGAATCACATTTTGTGCATTGCTTTGGTTGAATGTTTTGTATTTTAAATTTGGAATTTATTTGTGCTAGATCATGCTATGTTCGGTTTTAGAACTCACCTTAGAAAATTTATGATACGAAGTATTGAGTAGTAAGTGATTTGGGATATGATTTGGGCCTTCTTTGAACCGTTTGAGCCTTTCAAGCCGACATTTTTATCGAAATTCCTTAGAACCTTGATTTGAGCCTCGGAGAAAATGTGTTCTTTCTTTTAGCCATGTGTATAAGGTAGAAAAGTGGAGACTCTTGAAAAAAAAAAAAAAAAATTACCCCTTGAAGTTCGGTCGAAATTTTTTTATAAGGTCCTTCTTCTTCTTCGGAAAAAAAAAAGAAAAAAAAAGGAAAAAAGAAATAAAAAGAAGACAAATATCTATGCTTCTATATATATAAAAAAAAAAAAGAGAAAAAAGAGAAGAAGAAGAGACTAGAAGGGAGAAATAAGGACTAGTTGTTGAATTATTTTTGAAAACTCGACCCATTGTCTCAAAAGCAAAAGTGGAGACTTTTGAACTTTTGAGAATCGAGTTTATTAAAGTCCGTAGAAGTGAATTCATTGTTTCAAACGCCTATCTTTCAAATTTTGACGTAATCACCTAAATTCAAGAAGAATAGCCACACATACCCATATTTCCTACCTCAAACCAAAGAGCCTAACAATTGAAAGCCACAAAGCCCCAATGATCCCAATAGCTTAATGTTCGATATTAGTAGAGTAGAATAATTTGGTGAGTATTTGGAGTCAAGCATATGCATGTAAGTATAAATTCTTTCTATCTTTAATTTGCAAATATTGGATGCTTGAAGCAATTGTATGAATTGTGGTTTTTGGTAATGGTGAGTGACTAAGTGTTGTTGAATTTTGAGCTTGCGAATGCCTAAGAATTGTCATTATAATTTCAAGTTCTGAAAACGTGAAGTTGATCATTGATCTATGTGATGAGATGTAATAGTTGAGTTATTTGCTTATTGGTAGATTTTGCTTGAGGACAAGCAAAAGTTCAAGTTTGGGGGTGTGTTAAGTGTATATTTTTACACTTTATTGTATCTTTTTATTTGAGCTTTTGGTGTGTTTTAACGATAAATGGTGCTTAAAAAGTTGATTTATTGTATTTTAGGTACAAATTGAAGAATTGGAAAAGTATGGGGTCAAAACTGCAATTTTGGCGAAAATATGGGTCAAAAGTGAAAATATCAAAATTATGAAGATTTAATGCTGAGACCCCCGTCCCAGTTTTAGTGCAAATCGTGGGACCCCCGTCCGAGAATCTGAAGTTGCGCAGTAAAGGAATTTTAATTGTACAAGGAAACTGCCTTCTTCCCCAAGTTCTTCACCCTATATAAGACCAATCCAAGCACACAATTGAGCATCTTTTTTACACAATTTCAAGAGCAACAAAGCAATAACGAAGACGAAGAATTCGAAGACTTCAAGCATAGATTTATCGTCTATGATTTATTTTATTTGCGTTTTTCCTTTAATCACGAGTAGCTAATTTTCTTATTTCTAGGATTTTATTTGGAACCCTATGTGGGATTTATGAACCCAATTCTATGATTTTATGCAAGTTTTAATTTCGGATTATTTCTTCTACTTGTTTTATTATGTTCATGAAACTGGCCACTTTATGCGCTTTTATGTTATTGTTAATCGCATGAATCGGAAGATCGGGTTAATAATTAGAACTGTGGTAGAAGAGCCTTTGTGGTATTAACATAGGAATATAGTTAATCTATTAGGTAGCCATTATTGAGATTTGTGCTTAATGCTGTGTTCTAGAATTAATTGCATAGGAATATAGTAATTGAATCTAGAGGATTAGAATCGTAATACACGCGGAAGCGGGTTATGATTATTTTAGCATCTGAGGTTAATAATCCGGGTTAATTGTTTGCATAATTGAAGGAATTGGGGGAGTAATAATCACATAGGGGGAAGAATAAAATCCTAGGCTTGCTTATCTTGATTAAATCTTCGTTTTAAATTGCTTTCTTGTTTTTGCTTGCCTTTTAATTTATTTTAATTCTCTCTAAAGTCGACTGTGTAGGGTGGGCTTGATAATAATTGGTAGAATTTAGCGTCTACGATTAAGTAATTAAATATTCCCTGTGGGTTCGATATCCGGACTTAATTGTCCACTATATTACTTGTACGATACGTGCACTTGCGTGTAGGTTTTCGACCAACACTCAGTAAATTATAATAAGCATGGTATGAAATATGACGGCATTGCCAACAAATAACATTATACTACGATTTAAGTTCAACAATAATTGAATACATAGTGATGCAAATAACAAAGTAACTAAAATTATCGTCTGGTCCTCCAGTCATCGTACATAGCTCTAGCTATATCGTCCCTCCACGACACCCATTGTTGTGAGGTTTCCACACTTTCAATAAACCTAAGTGCGGGATCGTTGCTGGGGTTATGGATTGGCCGGAGACTTGCTTCCAATGGGTCTACGGGCATCTCTTTACGAATGAAATTTTGTAACAAGCAACAAGCCATAATAATACGGTTGTGGACTTTGATAGGATAATGAGAACTAGTACGCAATAGGCCCCAACGTGACTTCAATAACCCAAACGATCTTTTTATCACATTTCGAGCATTGGCATGCTTCATATTGAAATATTCCTTATAATCTTTTGGAGCATTATTACCATCCCATTCATCCAAGTGATACCTAACACCTCTATATGGGGCTAAAAACCCCTCTCCATTTGTGTAGCCATTATCGCAAAGGTAGTAATTTCCTGAAATCCACAAAATGAAAAATATTTTTAAATCACATATATGTTCAAAAATATTGAAAGAGGTTTGGAAAGGATCAGTACCATCGGGAATTCTCAAACCATTAGGTCTACAAACGGCATATCGAAGGACTCTACTATCAGCAGCGGAACCCTCCCATCGAGTTAAAATATAACTATAACACAAGGTTGCATCACACACACCTAGCACATTAACTGAAATATCTCCCTTGCGATTTCTATAGCGCGCCTTTTCTAGTTGAGCAACCCTAACTTTTATATAAGTACCATCTAATGCTCCTAAACATCCCTACACATTGAAACCAAAAAGTTTCACAACACTTTATTTGCATATTACTAAACATATATAAAGGTAACTACATGTCTTTATTACCTTAAACGGTTTCCACCGAACGTCTGTACACCCCTCATCAATAGGTGTTGGCTTCACAATCAACAACGGGTATAGCTTAATTACAGCATTTGGAACACTATTGAAGTGCTTACTAACCGTATACCCGGATCTGTTGAAATTATACCCTACAATTCTATTTTTAGTATGATGTCCCAATATATGCAAGAAAATGGCCAATTGTTCATTAACTTTTACATTCCGTGTATCAACTAAGCCACCAAAATTCTGAATTAGAAAACACAGTCGGACAAATGCATTTTTGGACATACGCAAATTATCAAAACAATGTACATCAGTACCGTGTATCAATCTATTAACTTTTTCTAACTGGTCGGGCACTCCAGCATTCAAACTATAAGACATATAAGAACGCACTAAACGATTACGAATTGCACGACGTTCTTTTAACTTACGATAAGCCCCATAACATGCCATAAGGAATAACTTGGAAATGTTAATTATTTCTTCCAAAACCAACAAGATCTCTTCATGCTCCTCTCTAATATCCATTTCAAACAAAAATTGTACGAAACTGCAATAACAAAATCAATAACAAGTTTTATACTTATAATATAATTTAAAATAACATACCCAACACATTAGAACCACAATATCATAATAATAAGTAAAATTGTAGAAAAAATGTTAATTAAAAAGGAAGATTTACCTCACCGAGCCTGCGTATGAGTTAGTAGGAGCACCGACGCTGGAACGAACACCTTCATGTGTTCGATTCTTGAAGAAATTCAAAAAAATAATGAATGCGGGATGATAATGTAATGAATCCATGAAAAAAATATGTATACGATTTAATTTACCCCAGTGATTGTTCTTTCTCTGTTGAAGAACACCTGTGAAGCAAAAAATGGAAAAAAGAAAATTCGTTCGAAATGGGGATCTACTGTTATTGGTAAGATTGTGTGTATAGTGGGTGGGAAAAATAAATATTTTGATTAATTGAATTTATTGATGAGGGTATTAGTGTAAAGAACCCTATGCCAGCTGTATTCATTTGTTTGGGATTGTGTAATCCACCCAATATTGGGTGGACAAGTTATCACTCAAGTAAGGGATTAAAAACCGGGCCAGCCATCAATCATGGGCTTTAATCACTCTAACCAAACGTCTGATTCAGTTGGATTAATTAGTCAATAACCCCTTATCACTCAAACCAAACGAGCCCGTAGTACATATTTTATAGATCTATGAAAGCTTAATACGATATAATTTAATTGTCGCTTGTTGAAGTTCACATTACCATCAATCTCGTCTCTCACTTTTAGAACTTTCGGTATAGTTTTCTCATAAATCAACATAAAATCGTTCTATACCATTGCTGCTTTAAGAGCTTCCATTCGTGAAACGGGCTCTATAATGCATTGAACTAATGGTACGATGAATAATATAAACGTAATTTAAAAAAAAAATGTATTTATTCAAAATAATAATAAAAGTAATTTCATAAATTAATAATTTATTAATTAATGTATAAATTAATAATTATTAATTTATCGATAAGTTAATATTTCGCTAAATTAATGAAATTTTGATGGTTCCATATTAATTGTATAAGCAAATAACAAGCACACCTTAAATCAAGCAAAATTAAATTCACAATCATCAAACCTAAGTCCACAATCCTCCTCAAGAACACATAACATAAAGCACTCACCCGGAACAACTTTGGGGGGTTCCTCCTTTGCATCGGGAGCAGACACATACCAGTGCCCCTTGTGCCAAACCAAGCACCGAGGATTGGGGGCGTAGGCCCCTCCATCCGGCAAATTGATATAAAACCCTATAACATCACCTTCTTTATACCCTTCACCCCCATACTTCTCTCTCAATGCTTTATGCACTTTACTCCCATCAATATCCCTATATCCAAAACTATTGCCATCGTATCCAACGGGTGCCTGCAAATCCCCTTTATCGGTGGACCACCCGAGCCTCGTGTGTCCCGTCTCTCCCAAACGCACCACTTTAATCTCGAAGTACCACGCGCCCTCGACCACTCCCCGCGTCGCCCTCACCATTCTGTACCCCTTTGTGCAGCTTGCGGTCATTCTATCGTCGCTCAGTTCGACCTTCTCCGCCTTGTGGACCTTCGAGAGGCAGATTCTCGAGTCCGGGCTATCGTCGGTTTTATCTGGGAATCTCGGTACCGGGGAAATCAACATTCTATCTTCGGCTAAGGGGTGGCCGTATGTGGGGTTCTTGGAACTGTGGCTGCTGTTTGATGCATGCTTGGTTTTCTTCTTCCCCTTCCTGGTGGTGGTGGTCCACACGTCCTTCTTCTTTGATTTCTTTCCTGATTTGGCGGTGGGCGGGTTTCCGCTCCGGGGCGGTGGAGGAACTACATCAGGCGGCGGGGGCATTTCGGTAATTTTAGCATCAGGGGTTTCGCGTTTGGGCGAATCGGGGAGCGTCTTCTGTGGGGGCTCCTCTTCTTCTTCCTCCTCCTCTCCAACTTCCTCGGTGCCAATTTCTGGTGGGAGATCGGCGGAATTCGGAGTACCATGATTGTCGATTTGATCGGCGTCTCGAGGAGTTACGATTCCGTACGAGGAAATTTCTTCAGGCGAAACGTCTTCGGAGGCAGCGGCTTCAAGCTGTTGCTTGATTTCAATCACGCGATTCTGTTCGGGCAACTCGGGCTTCATATCGGGTATCACGACGGCGTTTACCAGCTTGGCGGCGGCGGTGATCGGTGGTGGAAGGGGAGGGGAGTCTTCATCGGTGTCTGTCGTCTCGGTAAGTGGCCTGTAGAGTGTCCATTGAAGTGAGTATTGAGAAGAAAGGACACAGAAAACGGTGGACTGGTTGAGTTTTATCTGAAAATGATTGGGCTTTATAATTCTAATAAACTAGTAATAATGGGCTTCAATTCTATAGCTTAGCCCACTAGTAATAATAATAATATGTAAATCATATTTTCAATTGTACACAAAATGTCTGAAATGTCCTTTATTAAACGATTTTCTATTTTTTTATTCTTTATTTTAACTGTACATGTAACCAAACACCGGTTATCCCTCCTTCCGATATATAATAATAGTTCCCAAACATGTCCAAATCGTCCCAAAATTACGAGAGAAAAATAATAGTCAACAACCTTTGATTGAAGTGCTAGGATGTTGTCGCCACCATAAGAATTATCAGCTCTTTATCGTTGCAATCAAGAATAATGAGACTATGAAGACTATGAAGAAGTTTCTTGATATTGTAGCAGAAAAATGTGGAGTTACATATCTAAATTAGTTGGTTCTTTAGTGTCTAGTCCCGTATGGAAGACTGTATATAGGGCTGGAAAAAACATACCGATTACCATATACCATGGTATACCAACCAAGGATTACCGAAAAATTACCGAAACAACGGTTACCATTGTCTACGGTACGGTATTAGTACCGTACCATTACAATATGGTACGGTATTGGTATTGTATTTCTAATACCACGGTAATACCGTACCGTACCGCAATTTACATTTTAATCCGATTAATATATTTTTTTCGATATTATTTTTTGTAATTCTATTTTGTTTACTTATAAGCTTATAAATGGCATCAATTATTTTTTCCTTAAGTTAGTGATAGTGTATTTGCTTAATTTTTTTTTTTTTTTTTTTTTTCTACAAAGTTGAATTTTGTAATTGAACATATATGTTCTACTAAATTGTCTTTTATGTTTCTTATAGCCAACTAATTTTATTATATATATTATAGCCAACAGTGGTATCAGAGCCACGGGTTAATCGTTTATTTGTCAACGTGTTTATCGTTTTCGAAAGCATGCTTCGATTTGTTGAATTGTTGAATTTTTGGTGTTATCAAATTGGGTGTTTAATATTAATTAAATATTTTGAATATTTCAGAAAATATAAAAATTTTTAATTTTTGAAAAAACTCGGTTTTCTGTTGTTTTTCCCCAGCTGACCGAACCGGTCCGGTCGGACCGGTCCGACCGGTCCGGTCAGCGCAAACAAAAAAAAAAAAAAAAAATTTTTTTATTCGATTTTCTGAGAATTAATATTAAAATTAATTGATTTTTAATTTTTGAAATTATTTATCAATTAAACCCAATTAGATAATTGATCCATTAATTTAATTTGAATTCAAAGAATAGTGTTGGATTAATTATTTAATTTAATCGTTAAATTAGTTTAATTAATGGAACACAAATTGGATGGCAAATAATTAATGGACTCCATTCTTATTTGAATGATTTATGAATGAATGAAGTCCGTTAATTATATTTGCAATTAATCGTATTAATTAATTAATTCATGAGATGAATAATTGTGATTAAGTACGATGATGATCGTATGTCTCTCTTAGGATCAATATGCGTTTTCCACATACCTAGAGAACATAGTTGTAGGAATCACAAACGATCATAACCTAAAACTTCCGATGAGCTAATAAGATTTAAAAATTAAAATCCCTCATTCTTAATTAAGAATAATTATCAAGCTATAAAGGAAAACCAAATTGTTGAATTTTTCTTTCCTTCTACCAACAATTAAATTATGTGTAGCCTCTCATAATAGTGCAGTAAGCCGTGTTAGCGGGGAGTGCTATTGTGGGATAAGCTGTAATTTAATTGACATTAGATGGAGATACGGTCATAGATAAAATTATGTTGGATTAATGTGGTCGGCTAGATTAACTAGGGATTGCATTAGTTTGATATAGTTGGATCTATGACATCTCATATTGGTAGGCTAGACTTGACACACGAAGATTTTGATATTCGCTAGATTAACTTAGGTCATTATCAAGTGTGAGGTAAATCGATCTTTAGGGTCACATAGTGATGTGATTGATAGTACTCTACCTTTAGGCTTATGTAATCGGGATAGATTAACTACGGGTTACATTAGCGCTATTGGACCTAAAGCCCATTAAAGAAAAATAAGTTTTCTCGATTGTCTGCTAGAGGGTGGTGGAATTCGATAAAATTAGTGGGAGAACAATTAAAATATAAAAGTCCAAAATTTTAATTGTAACGATTATTACGAACTAAACTCTAATTATTGTCTTCTTAAAATTTTCTCAGCAACAATGTCCAAACATCCCCTTTCCTCAATCCTCGACCAAAACAAACTCACCGGTCCAAACTATTTGGATTGGCTTCGCAATCTGAAACTTGTGCTCCAAGTTGAGGAGCGTCTCTATGTGCTCAATGAACGTCCCCCCGCTGCTCTTCCTGCGACTGCTACTGCTGACGAGACTGCCACTTTCGAGGCATGGAAGAAGGACGACCTCCATGCGAGGTGCTACATGCTAGCATCCATGGTGCCAGAGCTCGCGAGGAAGTATGAGTCTCATGTGCATGCTTATGATATCAAGCACCATCTTGAAAGCATGTACAGTGAGAATACTAGGGCATCGAGGTACTCAGCTACCAAGGAGTTGATCACCATGAGGCTGCGTGAAGGGGCTTCGGTCCACGAGCACGGTCTCAAGATGATCACTCTCCTTGAGAAGCTGGTAAGCCTTGATGTCACCCTCCCGGCCGAGCTCTCGGTGGATTTGATCCTACTGTCCCTTCCTAGTTCTTATGAATCGTTCATAGTGAACTTCAATATGAACAAGCTCGATCCACCATTGGATGAGTTGTTGAACATGTTGGTCAGTTATGAGTCCACGATCAAGAAGGAGAAATCTGTTCTCCTAGTTGCTCCTTCTGTGAAGAAAGGATCTTTGCAGAAGAAAAGGAAAGAAAGAAGTTTCGGCCCGAGCAAGAAATTTGAGAAGGGCGAGTCGAGCGGAGTAAAGAATGACAAGGTCACCAAGCAAGTTGATGACGCTTGCCATCATTGTGGAAAGAAGGGCCATTGGCGACGCAACTGCAAGGCTTACCTCGATCAGAAACGTTCTGAAAAGGGTACGTATTTAGTTGAAGTTAACTTGTCCGTTAAATCTTCTGCTTGGGTATTGGATACTGGTTGTGGCTCACATCTTTGTAATGATTTGCAGCTCATGACAAGAAGTAGGAAGCTTAATGTGGGTGAGACCTACCTAAGAATGGGCAACGGAGCAAGGGTTGCTGCTGAAGCCATTGGGACAATTTATCTTTCTGTTTTGGATTCTAGTTTTTCCATTGTTTTGAACAATTGTTTATTTGTTCCGTCACTTATTCGAAACCTTATTTCTATTCCTGTTTTGGATAATGAAGGTTTTACTTTTGTTTTTGGAAATTCGATTTGCATTATACAAAAGGAACAAAATATGATTTGTAAGGGACAACTTATAAACAATTTATATGAACTGAATCCAAGTGAAATACCTATTAACGTTATATCAGCAAAACGAAAAGATATAAGTCTTAACCCCGCACAACTTTGGCACGCTCGACTAGGTCACATTTCCTTGAGAAGGATGAACAAGTTTGTTAGTGAAGGAATGTTCTCCTTGGAGGACGTTAAATCACATCAAACTTGTGTATCCTGCCTTAAAGGAAAAATGACCAAGACTCCCTTCAAAGGGAAGATGGAACGAGCCGAGGGTCTTTTGGATTTGATCCATTCAGACGTGTGTGGTCCACTAAGCGTTAGTGCTAGGGGTGGTTTTAACTACTTCGTTACCTTTACCGATGATTATTCTAGGTATGGTTTCGTGTACTTAATGAAGTATAAGTCTGAAACTTTTGAAAGGTTCAAAGATTTTAGACACCAAGTAGAAAACCAACTCGGTAGAAGTATTAAGAAACTACGATCCGATCGTGGTGGCGAATACTTAAGTACTGAGTTTATAGACTATCTGAAAGAGAATGGGATTCTATCTCAATGGACTCCTCCTGGAACTCCTCAACTTAATGGAGTTTCCGAACGTCGGAATCGAACACTGTTAGACATGGTTCGATCTATGATGGGGTTCACCGAGCTACCGGCATACCTGTGGGGTCATGCACTCCTAACTGCCGTGTATTTGCTGAATAGGGTTAATACCAAAGCAGTTAACTCCACACCTTATGAACTTTGGCACTCCAAGAAACCCACGTTTAAACATATTAGGATATGGGGTTGTCCCGCTTACGTGAAGCGGCTAGTGGGAGATAAGTTGGATACAAAATCCGACCTATGCTATTTTGTGGGGTATCCCGAGGATTCCATGGGATACGAATTCTACTATGTTTCCGAGGCAAAGGTGTTCGTCTCGAGAAATGCCGTGTTCCTTGAGAAGGAATTTCTATCGGATAGAAAGGGCAGTGTAGTTGATCTCGAAGAAGTTCGAGAACCACAATCTGAAGTTCAAGCACAACAATCAGATAATGAACCAATTCAACAAACCACTAACATACCTCCTGAACCGTCGCTGCGTAGATCCGAAAGAGTTCGGAGAGCGCCCGATAGGTTATTCCTCGTTGATGAAGTTGACCAAGGATGTGATCCTAGAACTTTCAACGAAGGTGTATCGGATACAGACAAGGGACATTGGCTTAATGCCATGAAATCCGAAATGGACTCTATGTACTCCAACAAGGTATGGACCTTGGTAGATCCACCCGAGGGAATCGTTCCCATAGGCTGCAAGTGGATCTATAAGAAGAAAATTGGAGTAGATGGAAAGGTATCGACCTACAAGGCTAGATTGGTAGCGAAGGGTTATACTCAAAAGCAAGGAGTTGACTATGAGGAAACCTTCTCTCCAGTTGCTATGCTTAAGTCCATTAGGATTTTGCTGGCCATCTCTGCGTGGTATGACTACGAGATATGGCAAATGGATGTGAAGACCGCTTTCCTTAATGGGGACATTGAGGAAGAAATTTACATGGCGCAGCCGGAAGGCTTCATATCTTCTGGAGATGAGCAAAAGGTTTGCAAACTCCAGCGATCCATTTATGGATTGAAACAAGCATCCCGTAGTTGGAACAAAAGGTTCGACACAACTATCAAAGAGTTTGAATTTGTGAAAAACCCGGAGGAACCTTGTGTCTACAAGAAGGTTAGTGGGAGTGCAGTGACTTTTCTTGTACTTTATGTTGATGACATACTACTCATTGGGAATGATGTAGGGATGTTGCAGTCGACTAAAGTATGGTTATCCACACGTTTCTCGATGAAGGATTTGGGAGAAGCATCCTACGTATTGGGAATACGGATCTATAGAGATAGATCGAGGAGATTGCTTGGCTTGTCCCAATCCATGTACATAGACACCGTTCTTAAACGGTTTAGCATGGAAGAATCCAAGAAGGGATTCTTGCCAATGTCCCATGGGGTTCGTCTCTCGAAATCCATGCGTCCTCAAACGCAAATGGAAATCGAGGAGATGAAAAGGACACCTTAT